CTCCCACATATCATGTGATATGTTACATTTGGACCTTATTGATCCTGTAGTTTGTTCTCATACAGTTGGATATATGGTATCATGAGGGTTGCAGGTTTTGTCATCATGAAACTGAAGCGGTTAAAAGCTGAATAAAATCAGAAAAAGAGACGCAGAGGTTGAGGTTTCGCAGCAGAGGCATCACATGAGGTTGTTCTGTTGTCTCCAACACTTGAACATCACAAACGTCACGCCTTTCAGATGACTAACTCCTGTTTCTTTTAGTTTTTTCTTTATTTGTCTGAAAGAGCACAGTACAGTATGTTTACTTTAAGCATTCATAAGCAGTAAAAACAGTTTTATAACAAACTTTAATGTACTTGTAAGTGAACAGTTATAAGTGCTTATTATGTGTCAATAATTAAAACATATTGTGACTAAAAACTGAATAACAATATAGGAAATCAAGCTGACAAAACAATCTACAATAATACTTTATAATAAGACTTTTTCCACCTAAACTAGCAAAATACAAAAACCGGACTTGTATCTTTTATTACATTTTTTTTTAACTAAATGCACTCTGCAGTTAGCCGGTTCTTTGCATCGGTGATATATAAAACCTTGCTCATTCTCCACAGAGGTGAATAAGATATTTGGGCATTCACCTGTACTTTAAACTCTTAAGAAAGTCAGTTTCCTCTCTTAACGTAATGATGACTTGCTGCAGTGATATAGCAAGATCTGTGTTTCCTGCGTAGATACTGAAGCAACAGATGAGCGGTCCAGTTAGTAGCAGCAGCCAAAACCTGCCTTATTTAATCCTGAATAAGAAACTGTTTGAGAGTTGAGACTCATCTTCACAAGCTTCAGGCATGACTGAAGAATCTCCATTATATCATTTTAAATAACAGTGGAGAAGGTGAACACCCGGTGATTCTCAACACGTGAACACACAGGCATGCTAGTATTGTTAAAAGCTTAAAATGCCGGTTTCCTGTAGTTACATTTCTGTGGGGAACAGAACAAAGCTCAGTGTTAGAACACAAGAAATCATGCTGAACACTAACCCCTCACTTCCTGGGCTCCAAAGTTTAAAAACTGAAGCTTTGGCGTGCAACTGAATTTATCTTTTTAGTGTTAGGACTGATTATTTTTGGTCTTGTGACATTCATACAGTGTGCTTGTGTTGCTAATAACAGGATTGCGTTATTTGGAAGCTTGTATTGTAAACCATCTGTGTGTCAAGATACTACATTCAAAGTGTGGCTGCAAGATATCACTTCATTAGAATACTGATAATTATTGCAGCTCGAACTGCTGCCTTTTCAACACTTCTGCATTCAAGTACATTTCCAAGAATCTGTGTACAGTTTGACTGGTAAATGAAAGTAAATGCAGTTATAGTGCTACTTAGTTGTGTTGGGAAATCTGAGCACCAAGCTGGCTGAAGTTACGGCTTTCAAAACAAAAGCAGTCTTGAGCTCGGAGACGAGCCACGACGAGCATCGGTAATAGCAGCAGCATCATCTAATGCAGCACCCACTGAAGTAAATCCATGACAATTACACGCTTACCGTAACCTCTCCATGGGACAACATTGCCGTCCACAGCCATTACTGCAATCACAGAAACCCATAAAGGCATGAATCATCTGTTTATACCGTTTCAGATCCAGAGACCACGGGGTCATAAACACCTCAGATGTATGCGCTGTTTGAAAGCTCTTACTGGAAGATGCACCACCTCCATTTGCGTGAAGCATGCTCATAAATAAATATGCAGATCACAAAATATAGAGCAGAGTGTATGCGATGTGTGTGGCGTTTAGGTGAAGTGAAAAAGATGATCTGTTTATCACATTATGTACAAACCGTTTTGTTTTTCAGTGACCAAGAGCCCCCTTACTCCATGATCACTTTGCACGAGATGGCAGAAACAGGTAAGAAAAAAACACACTCACAGACAGATTTTAATCAAACGATATTCAATTAAAAGAAATGTAGGCGGTATTGGACTATTATTGTTTAATATTTTCATTTTCTTACAGAATTAACGTTATTTTTTTATCAGCCTGTATCCGTGTGAACAGAGTCAGCTCACGGAGGAGTGTAAAATCTGTAATCCTGCATACGTAACTGCAGAATACAGTCCTGATTAGCAGCGAATATTAATGAACTTTAACCGGTTTTGACGCTGGTATGCAGCGCATGTGTTATTGTACGTGTGACACCTGTAGTTAAATGCGGTTTAAGACGACGGGGCCCATAATTCTGGGGGCAGCCAAATCTCTTCAACAAATCTTCTTAAATTTCCGTTTTAGTAAAGAAGTCAGGCAATGATTGGCCTTTTGTCCCTCGTTCTGTGAGCAACTGTGATCTGATTTTAGGCTGCACATAGTCTGTCGCCTGCAGCTCTTCCCGCTAACGGCTCGCTGTGGCTGCTCCTTCTTGTTCCATTACTCCCTGACATATTTCAAACTGATCCACTCTCAAAAAATGTTGAAAATAACCATTGTCTTGTCTTGTAGACACGTTTTTGGTGCTTGATAGCAGCCAGAGAAAGCTCATAGACAGTGCATTTCCTGTGATAACTATATCCATAGTCCATAATTTCCCTCGGGATAAATAAAGCTTCTTGAATCTTGAATAATAAGAATTGTGTTTTTAATGTAAAGCTGCAGCGGTGGGAAATGTCCAGTTTTCATTAGCAGTAACTTAATTACTGCTCGTCTTCGGATATTTCCCACAGATAGCCAGTTCTTAATACTGTAAGTATAAAAATAGTAAAAATACTTTCATCAGTGGCCATTCTGGGGGGGCGGATGGGAAGCTTTGGAGGGCCGGATGTGGCAGAAGAATGATTGGATCAGATGTTATAAAAGGGAAAAAGTTAGAAACACTAAGGTCTACTCAGAAACGGAGGCTAATGTCTCAACCTACAAAACCCATTTCTTGGTTGGCTTTGAGTCATGTGCACGACTCTTAAGACACATGGAGAGAAGATTTATCGTTCCTATTGACTGAGTGAGGATTCCCAGGAACTGAAACAGGTCTCCTGTGAATATTCTGTCCCAACCCCCTCGGGCCGAGCTCGTTGGGTTGTTTCTGAGAACTGCTGAGGCAGTGACATTACAGTAGCTTTGTAAGCAGCAGACAGTTACAGTCCTCTTCCTCTGTTCAGCTCGGTTTTTCCATTTTGACGTATGGTCTCTTCATAACAACAATACGTTTCAGTATTTATAACATGGTGTTCAGAAGTAGATCTATCATGTGAGCATATTTGCTTTGTGTTGTTAAGAAGAAACAGTTTTGAGGACCAAAATAAATAAATGAGGCCATTTAGTATCAGTCAATTGGAATACTATAAATAATAAATGGTCACATTTATGTAAAGAATAAACAAAAATAAAAGAAATCACTGCTGTTCACTGTAAAGTGGAGTCAAAAGTACAATATTTCCCTCTGTAATTTAGTGGTGTGGAAGTATAAAGTAGTAGAAAATGCCATTGAAAGTACAAGTAGCCTACCTCTAAACTTTACTAGAACAGTACTTGAGTAATCGCGCTTTACCATGTTTGTGCGCCGAGTCTAAACGTGTCGCTCTGATCTGCGGCTCTCAGCCTGTAAAGACACACCTCTAAGCGGGTAGCCTCGTTGTTGTGCAAATGCAAAACCCTGCTGTGCTGGGTTGGTGCGCCGAGTCAACCCGAGTCAACCCGAGTCGAGCAGAGCCAGCACATGTGGATGGTAAAACGCCGTAAATGTGCTTAATTAATTCCAGCACTGCTCTCTACTAAACAACGCATTCACTGGACCACCAAACTGAAAACATTTGAAAAACAATTTTGTCTAGTTTAATGTTTTATCGGAGTTAATTTGCATAAAGTTGAAGTCGAAGCGTGTGTATGCACATTCAGCGATTGGTCAGTTAACCCACTGGATATTCTAGCTGCATTATACACCCAGGAAAAACAGTTTTCGTGTATTGGAAACACCGATATGTCTGCGACAGCACAATACTGACTGATGTCTACATAGAAATAACATATTTTTGAATGTTCCAGGTGGATATTTGAGCTAGTTTGTGCAACAAGTGAATAAAACATAATAGAGTCGTGTTAGTTTAACAGTAACTGACAGGTCTGATTCTTGTTCGGCTTCAGTTGATGTTTGTGTGTGTTTGTGCGTATGGTGAATGATGCTCTCATGCTGTGTGTGTTTGTGAGTGTGCTCATTCAGTAGCCTTTGAGTTCTTGTTTGGACCTTGTGTCATGCACATATGGTGTTTGATGCTCGCGTGGCGTGGTGTTGTGTGATTTTACAACAGCCAAGTCGGGTATTAGCTTGCAGACACCGAACCCCCGAAGGCAGCCAAGCAGCAAGTCAGTCAGGCAGTCAGTCATTTTCTGTTTGACGTGTTGTGATGTTACATTATTCATCAGCCAGTTGGCTGGAGCTTTTATGAGTGATAGTCTGAGAGAGACTTTCTTACAGAGTCATCTAATGGACAGGAAATGGATGTTTTAGTATTTGTGCTGCATCTTATGCTCATAATCCATGGCCCTGTCCAATTATCTTTGATTTATCTGGTTTTATTCGGTCTAACAATAGAAGTTCCCGTACTTTGCATGAAGAAATGTATTCTAATGAAGAGTCTAAGCAACACAAAGGAGCCAAAAATATAATCCGGTCTGAGGCATAGGGCTGGGTACCGAACGACGATGGCACAGAACGATCGTTATTACAGAGTATCGTAAAATGTACCAACAGAGTCAGTGCGCCAATATGTGCGACAACTTTGTGCTGCCTGTTCGCTAGCCAGTGAAGATAACCTGTATCTGCTCGTCGGTGAGTCCGTTCACCTCATTGTCCGCTGGGATGGAAGAAGAGAAATAGTGGAAAGTATCGATAGGGTTTTCCCAAACAATATTCTTGGCTCACATTTTTCTTTTCATCAGTGGCAAATAAAAATATCTCCTTCTGTTGCTGTTTAATGTGAATTATTTAGTATTAAGACAGCAGGTAAGTAAAATATTCTGTTGTTTTGCTTAATGCAGGCAGTCGTCTTGTGTGTATGTAGTAGGATCTATAACGGGAGTGAATGGACAGGTGAATTTGATCAGCTGAGTCTCAAATCAATCTCTTCTTCTCTTCTCCCTCAGATGATGGTTGGCTGGAGGTTGTCCAGTCTCTGATTCGAGTGATCCCATTGGACGATCCGCTTGGCCCTGCAGTGATCACCCTTCTATTAGATGAGTGTCCCCTGCCCACCAAGGTTAGTAGCGTGTGTGTGTGTGACACAAAGAGAGATTTATTTGGGTAATACATTTAAAAATATCTGACTGTTCCTGGAGAAGTCTTACCCCAAACCTGAACAAAGGTAAGAATTGTGTGTTTGTTACCTTAGAATGAGTCGTTTTTTTATGTAGAGAGGGAGCAGATCCTCGTCTGTAGAGTTTGCCATGTTTCTACAGTAAGCCAGAACAGACAAACTTAACACTGGTCATTCAACAGGAATGTAAAGATATATTGTGA